TGCTCCAGGGATTATTGTGGATGAAGGCATATTTAATGTATTGCAGAAAGCTGAATAGTCATGGAAAAAGAGCAAAAATTATACTTACAGACACTTAATTTAGACTACAATAAACGGGAATGGAAGCTGGGATGTTTTTCTGTAAAGTGCAAGGTAGCTGTTTAGGCTCCTTGCACATCAGTGGGGAGAAAGATCAACTGATTCATGTGTCTTGCCCCTCTATTTTTGGTGTTTGGTTGGTAGAGATGAACACTGTCCTTCAGTGTTAGGAAAGGAAACTGTCACTCCTTGTGCACATGTACAATATTACTGCTCTGGAGTTCAAGTCACAGTTAAGGCCATGGTTGAAATCTAAATAAGAACAATAGCTGGTTACAATTTACAATCTCAGCAAGGAATCTGAAGACTGTCCAAGTGAGGAGACTGAATGGGGAATCTGGAGATTGTCCAAGCAAGAAGACTCAATGATAAGCTCTGTCTAAAGCAGATACAGCCAGACAGGCTGGGGGCAGTGGCCGTGGGTAATGCCATGAAAGCTTTGTTTTGAGGAAGGAATGGCTTTCTCAGGTATTCAGCCCAGCTCCAAATCTCTTTAAAAAAAAATCCAACCTGGATCTGGGAGAGGGAGAAAGAAAGAAAGAAAGGCCTAATTCTTAAAGATCCCATGAAAACAATAAATAGAGTTTAACAGTCAATAGGCAGATTAAACTGGCTGTGGATCAAAACACATCAGGAGTAAAGATTTATTGCAGAAAACTAGACATGGAATAAGCCCTGCTCTGTTGCTGGAGCTCTGACTAACTGGTTCTAGTGAGGAAAGGGAGGGGGAAAGAAAATTACAGCCTTTATAAATAGGCATCAGCAAAGCTGTTCCTGGCATGCTTTCCTGCCCCAGTCCATACCACCCAGTGGGGTAAATATCTCATTCCAATAATACCACTGATTAAATGGCTGTGGGATAAGGAATTTAATAAATTCCACACAGCATGTGAATGGTAATCAGGCCAGGAGCTTTATGCACTTTGGCTTGTGACATATACCACTGGGATATAGGATAATTAAGGGAATATTCCCTCCTGTCTCCAGATCTCTACTGACTGTAGGGCATGCTGAGCCTTCTGTTTCAAGGGGTATAAATAGAGCAAATGGGATGAAATTAGGTGGGATACATAGTTTGAATACCAGTCAAATCTACAGGGCAGGGGCACTGTCCTCTACAGCCTTTCACTTAAGGAGCTCTAGATGTCCTGGTAAATGACTTTATTAATCCTGCAGCCAAGGTGTGTAATATATATATACTTGTTTGATGGTTCATTCTGACTCCTCAATACAAGGCTAAAAGCCTTTTTAGATCATACATGCTCTGTGTGCCTGGAGGTGAGAGTGAGATTTTTTAATCCCCTGCATTGCTGTTAGTCTGTTATAAGGATGGAGGTGAGAGTGAGAAGATTTTTTTGATCCCCTGCATTGCTGTTAGTCTGTTATAAAGTTTTTTTCATCTGACACATTCAGTTCTGGGCTGGACTCTGTCTAGTAAGAAGGTACTTCTTCACATTTCAAATTCATTGAACGTGTCACATGATGTGAAACCCAAACTTGCACATCCCATATTTCTGATCAGAATTCCCAGGCAGAAGCGTGACTCATCCTGCAGCCAGTGCCTATGGAATGTGCCTGTGGGAGGCACACTCCTGTAGGGAGCTCCTTGCAGTGTCTGGTTCTGATGGAAGAAGCCTGCCCAGACTGCCAGCCCCAGTCTCCTGTGCACGCTGACTGACCCTCATTGAGGAGTTTGGAAAATAAAAAATATAAAAGAATTGTTAACATCCCTTTTGTCTGAGCATATGCCAGAAAACACAGGTCAAATGCAGGGATTTCATCTTCTCCCCAGAGAAACTGCCTTCTCAGGCTGCTGTGATTAAGCTGGGGCATGCTAAACTTTTTGGTATCTCCTTCCAGCGGACTCTAAATTCTGAAACTGTGTCATGATGAAGATAATGCCCTGAAAGGCAAAGATGTAGAAGATTTCAAGTTGTTTTTTTTTCTTTTAAGCTGTGTTCCTTTTGTATTTTGGCAACATCTTTTAAAAGTTGTGAGTTGTTAGGTGTGTCTCAAGGCAGTTGTATCTATCTATTAACCAGAACCCTGATGCTTTTACATCAACAAGCTTGCAATACAGACTTGGTGCATTTAAATGGGTACATCTAGATGTGCATAAAATTGGAGGACTGTTTCTGTAATAATAATAATATTATTAATAACAATAATAGTAAAAATCTGTAGTTTGTGCAAGGCATATTGTGGGCTCTCAGAGGTCTCTTTTTTCAGAGGGCTCTCTCTTCCCCTACCACATCTTTCCCTTCAGCTGCATGAGTGGCTGCTACTTCATTTAGCCTCTGGAGAAGGGGCTGACACATACTTTGCCAGTGCATTTCACAAGTCACAAGACAGGAGATCATGTATCTTGGTTCTGTCCCTGGCTGTGAGAGAAGAATGTGGCTTATGGGTCTGATAGGGGGTAATCAAAGCTCAATCAGCCTGAAAGACATTACAGCTGACTAGTGAAGATATAGACTTACTGTGCTATAGTCCTGCTTTCTGGCCAAGGTGACCTCTGGTAACCCCAGCGTTAGTGTTGCTCTGAAATATGGCAACAGCTTGAACTCAACTGTCTTCCATAATTGGGATTTATGGCCTTGGTCAGTAATAAGGACAAAGAAATGTGCAATATCAATCACAGGAAGTTATGAGTACGTGAACTAGAGTTAGCTCAGGGAACTGGCTCAGAGGTTACGGAGGTTTGGTGTGGGAGCAATGTCCTTTTATTCTTCCCACCTGTCCCTAAAACAATCTTAGTCATTACTGTCATCGCTTCTTTATGTTGTGTGTCTTTTCAGCCGTGCTAGAAAACGGGTAAGATCAAAACATGCTGAATGGTTTGTATTTGTAATGCTCTTGCTTTTGCCAGTATTTGGGGATCATCTTGCAAAGTATGGTGGTTTTGAATCGATCTTTAAAAAACCAAGGTAATCTGTTTAAAAACTTGGGAAAAAACCTCAGAATTTGCTTTGGTTTTTGTTTTTAGTTACTATCATTTTCTTTTTCATAAAATGTGCTGTCCTCTGCATTTCCTCTGAGGATGGTGTTTGCCATTTTATGAAAATCTTCATATGACAGAAGATTCTGTAAAAGTGAGAATTTCTGAAACAGCCTTTACTCTTGAATGGAACTCATTATCTCTGTTACCACTGCTTCCCAGTTATTTTCAATAGTTGATAAAAATCTCTTCTGTTTTCCAATGATAAACTATATTCAACCTCAGGAAACTGGTGCACAGCTTCTCAAAACCACTGGTATGCTTCTCAAAACCTTTGGCTGTTTTATATTCACTCTAATTTTATTTTTTTTGAGGTGTCTCTTGGTGTATGGAATGATAAACACAGGGTCACTCTGTAGGTGTGGACGTTGGTAAGATGTAGCCTCCATGGTGACTAATGGATTTTTCTAAAATTATGTTAGATTACTTCTAAAACACTAATCTGATACACCTTTTCCAAATAAATCTAATGCTAAATTTGTATTTTAAAATGACATATTTGCAGCGCTGTTGAGAAGCATCAGTTCTGCTTTGAAACTATCCAGTCTGTCAGTTATTATGGAAAGCACAATTATTATGGAAAGTTCTTCAGTTTCTATGGCTTTCTTTTTTTCTTTTTTTTCTTTCTTTTTTTTTTTTTAAATTTACATTCTTTCCCTTTACTTTTGAGTTGTTTTACATGTAAATACCTTCACTGTCACAACGGCTTTCATGAGACCAAAGGGAAAAGCAAGCACCTCTCTGCCAGGTGTTTTGAATCTACTTATACTCTCTTAATAAAAAGCAGTGCTCCATCTGCTCTTGAACGTGCACATCTCCACTGCCAGTCCTACCCCAACCTCACACCCCTCCAGCTGTGCACATGTTTCTTATTACGAGATAAGTCTGTGGAGGAGGATGGCAATTATTGCTTGGTCCCCATCTGAAATAAATTCCCAAGATGAAGGATGGCTTCTCAGATTGAAAGTTCTTGTAAGAATAATAATGCCTTTCAAGCCCTTAGCAGTTTAGGTTTCCTTCAAGAAGGAACATCTCTCTGTAAAACATGCCATAGAAAACCTATGTGTTTTGTTTAATTTTATTTTTGGCAAATCTGGTTATAGACAGATATGATTTGAGTGGTATTTCTTATGACTTTGGTATGGATGAAGAATGCACCATTAAAAAAAACAGACAGTGGTAGACAGACCCACCTACTATTTGCCTCGGAAATCACCATGTTTTTGCAGTCAAACCTATTTATTTATCTATTATGTTTACTTTTTTTTTTTCTGATCATACAGGAGAGGTAACACTATGACAGCATTAACTTTCTTACATTATTTATTAATGTGAAAAAAAATCTGGAAAAGGAGCACGTAGTGTATGTGTTCATATTTATATACAAATATTTGTCACTCTTGTCAGTGACACCCTGAAAGGGACCTGTCCTGCAGGGCACTCAGCAGAGCCACTCATGTAAACATGAAGGCAGTACAGCAGGTAGATGCCACAGGCATCTTGTTGAATCAAACTCCTTGAAACTGATTGGTCAACTGTATATCCACAAAGTTTCTAATGGATTGGTATGGAAGTAATAAACTTGTATGATTACATTTGGGAAAACGAATTCAGTTAAAATTTTACATATTTGTGCAGTTACTCAACTTACTTTCTCCTGTCTGTGTTGTAAAGTCAGATAAGTTTCCTTATGATGTTGTAATATTTAATGCTTGTCAATAAAGAAATGCTTTCCTGTATCAGGGGATATTGCACCAGAGAATAAAGAAGTTTTCTTTCTGGGTACCACGTGGAGACTGAAATAGTCATATTTAAGTGTACTCAAAACTGTTATGAGAGTGTTGGTGGGAATGGAATTATCACAGTGCAAAGGAGTGGTGCAGTGAAGATCTTCTATCCTGCAGAGATGGGAAATGTGTGTTATCAGCCCTGTAAAACACTGAAGAGACAGATCTGGACGCTCCTGCCAGTCACAGAGCAAATGAGAAGACCAGAAAAAAGAGCTGGAAGAGATGTCAAGTCGTGTCTTGAGTGTAAGTTAGATACTTACAGGCATCCTTGGTGGTCCTGGGAGCCTGCAGTCCTTGAGAGCTCACAGTTATGTGCTTTTGGAAGCCTCCATCTACTACTCAGATGGATTTTGCAGCAGTACCTTGCTGCTTGACCTGTGATTCCTGTTATTTATGACCCCCATTTCACTTTTCTTGGCTGGATTCATTCCACTGTGGTCATTCTAATGGGATTCAAATTTCCTTTCTAAAATAAATGCCTGTCCTCCCTCAACTTTCTTCCTTGTGTCCACCTCAGTTTAGCAAATTACACAGCCACAGAGTATTCCCCTGGTTGCTGCCTTCTGCCATCCACCACCTGCTCACGTGACAATTTTGGGTTGAAAACATTGCTTCTGTGTCCCCAACTTCCTCCTTCAGTACAATGTTTTCCGCTTTAATTTTATTTCTTTTATGGAAATGGCCCTTCTGGAGGAAGGTCTTGTTGTTTCTACTGTTTTAGGAAGGCAGGGAGGGTGTTTCGTTTTACCCACAGCAGCCAGAGTGCAGTATGCTGTTTCTATAAATGGACTGCTACAGTGTTTTGTTATGAAACAGCCTTTGATATAGGATGGCCACAGTCTTAGAGCTTCCAAATATATTTCAGCCATCTATAAAAATGACAAATATTTCTGTGCCCACAGGATAGGAACATATATGTTTCCAAGAGCTCAGTTGTGCTATCCTGAAATTAAACTGAGAACTGCTGTCTTAATGTTGAGAGACAAGTGTTGACTGCATCTCTTTTCCATCCCTTCTGCCTTTGAGCTTTGGAGCTGGATGCTCTGGTTTCAGTTGGGATAGAGTTAATTTTCTTCCTAGTAGCTGGTACAGTGCTGTCTCTTTGGATTCAGTATGAGAATAATGTTGATAACGCACTGATGTTTTAGTTGTTGCTAAGCAGTGCTTACTCTCAGGGAAGGACTTTTCAATTTCCCAAGCTCTGCCAGCAAGCAGGTGCACAATGAGCTGGGAGGAAGTGTGGCCAGGACAGCTGACCTGAACTGACCTAAGGGATATTCCATACCACAGAATGCCATGCTCAGTATATGAACTGGGGAAAACTGCTCAGGAGGTGCTGGTAGCTGCTCAGGGCCTGGCTGGGCATTGGTCAGCAGGTGGTGAGCACATGTACTCTGTATCACCTGCATTTCTTCAGTTTTATGTCCCTTTCATTTTGGTGCCTCCATTTTCATTACATTTATTATTATATTTTTAATTTATTAAAATTATTAGAACTACTCTTATCTCTACCCAAGGATTTTACCTTCTCTCTTTTCCAATTCTCCTCCCCATCCCACTGGGTGGTGGGGTGAAGTGCACATGATATTGAGTTGCCAGCTATTGTTAAACCACTGCACTGAACTGGCCAGTTGTGAGGAAAAGGACAGCAAGTAGGCTCAAAGTTGTCCTGTTTTGTCACAGATCATTCAGCAGTCTGACACTAAAGAAGGGAAGTTATGCAGCAAAATTCTCTGGTCCTTCCAATTTGTGATGTGCAGCATTGGGTCAGGTCAAGATGTAGAAGAGCTCTGCCTAATCTTAATCGAAAAGGACCTGAAAGTACCAGATTTTCCAGGACCACTTCTCAAGTGCAAAAATGCACCAGTTCCAAAAAAGTGGCAGGGATTTATATAGATTGCAGTTTGTGCCTCTTTAATAGACAATGGGGTTTTTTATTTGTTTGTTTCATTGCTTCCTGTGACCAGCAAGATTAGGCAAGGATGGGGAAAAAAGAAGACATCAAAACGATAGGCAGAACGCTGAAAATTTGTAAAACAATTTTCCTGGCAGAGGCACTAAAAAATTCTCAAGACTATACTCACAGAAATGTCCAAGCCTTTAAGGGTTTGCTTTTCAAATCCATTTTTTAGTTTTATGTGGTTTGCTCATCTGTGCCACAGCACTGGGACATGGCATTTCCCAGGGATAATTGAATATTCCCATAATGTTGCCAGATGACCTGTAGGTCTCACAGTAACATTACTCAGAGAGACAGAAATGGGACCTCAAGACAAAGGCCTTCCTTCAGCTGTCTTTTTTCCTGTTTTCAGGAAAGCAACAGGTCATGCAAAACAAGAGACTCATGAGCCAATGAGGAATTTTGACATGAAATGATGGATTCTGGAGAAATGATTCAACCAGTCAGGGTGCAAACATTTATTCCACATGATGTATGTGGTAATTGTGATCCAGAAAAAAAGCCATATGCCACAGGACTCTAAATGTATACCTAATTTTCTGTTTTCATTATATAAAAATAGTAACAATAATCTATTTATAGACAATGGCAAGATATTTATTAATTAACCAAAATCAGTTTAGAGCATCAGCTCCTCCTAGCTGGGCATTAAACCTCCAGGAAATATCTTTACTTCACTGTTACTGCTTCATTATTTACACTAACTATCACAACCATTTGTCTAAATATTTGCTTTTCTGATACCGACACCCTGAAGGAGTTCAGGTCAGGACATTGTTTGCCTATTGTATAGCATTGCAACATGCAAAGATTTAAGTTACTATGGAAAAGAATAGGAAGCTTAGAAACTGAATGAGAAATGAAGGGGTCTGGCTTGGAGCACCTGCTCAGTACAGTTGTTTTTTATTAAATAATACAACGTGCAGTTCTGCAGGAGGTCAGAGCAGATGATCTAATGGATCTTCCTGCCCTTGAAATGCACGAACCCTTGTTGCTGTGCAATTAATGTCAGTGGAGCCAGTGTAGTGAATGTTGGCTTGTCCATTTAGATTATAGCAAGGCCGATATTTGGTGAAATAGTTTCCTTAACCTCTCTTTTATTTCCAATAAAGGCAATGCTGTTATGGGAGGGGAAGGGAGGTATTTGGAGTCACCCAACTGGTCCACATTCCCAAATGCAGTGTCAGCGACCAGACACAGATAGGCATCGAGTGCCCTTTGCTCTTACTCGGTTTCATTTCCTGGGTGTTTTCCTTATTAGGCTGAATGATGAGCCAACTGTACAATAAAATGTGTCCTAAGCATATCAGCACCTTGGAATTTAAGAACTCTTCCACATGTAATGAGCTGAGGAATTACAACACAAAGCACACCTTTCTCTCAAATTGACTGATTAACATAATAAAGTTAGACTCAAAGCAGCTTGTTCTCAACCTGTATTTAGCCTGAAGTGTTTCTCTTGTATTTCAGACCTGACAAAGGGCTCATGTGCCTGGAAGCACGTGCCTGCTATTTTCCAGGCATATCAGATGGTCTAATTAAAAACCTTACCTCTTCCTACAAACTTTGCCTCAGGAATGAATCTACATGGCTAAGCAGGGGGGTTTTTTGTAGGTTTCTTTTTTTCTTTTTCTTTTTTTTTTTAATTCTTTTTTTTTTAATTTTTTTTTTTTTTTTTTTTTGGAAAAATTTTAATTTTTTTTTTAATATTTATTTTTTGTTTCTGGAACAATTCTAAACCATTAGAAGCATCTTACATATGAACGGCCTAATTTCTGATGACACTGACCATTATATCTATAGTTTAATGTTGGTTTCAATTTCACATATGGTAAATATGCCTTCCAGGCAGATAATACAGGAGCTAGCTAAACTTACTTTATGACAAAAAGGATTAAGGGGTGACTAAAGTACTGCCAATAAACAGATGTGCAGGCAGAAAAATTGGATGCCTCACTGAGTAGTTGAAGAAATTGCAGGACCCAGTTGCTGACACAGAAGCCAGAAATCTGTGAATATTAAATTGCAGAGGTTCTTTTAGCTGCTGTTGGGTTTCTTCTTATTGCTGTAGGTTCGACTTTGGGGTTTTGTTGGTTTTGGGTGTATTTCAACTTTTTCTTTCCTTAGAAAGTTTAATAAAGTAATTAGTTTTATTAAGTAGTAAATTCACATCACTTATCATCTGCACAGAAAGTTTAGTAACTACCAACGCAGTTTTGAAGTTACTGAGCTTAACAGAAGCAGGAGTGGAGAAGCTGGACAGTCCATGTTCTACTGTAAGATACAGCAACTGGTCAGAATGGACTTTTAACTCCTATTTAAATAGGTTGGGACAGAGAAACTCTGAAAGGCAGTGAAAGGCTATTTACACATCAAGGTGACCTCTGCTCCAATAGATGTGTTTAAAAATGCTGCGTGGTCTCCCAAGAAGAGCATCCAGCTGATTGCCTTAAGTCTTTGGAAAGCAGCAAGGTGCCAAGTTTACCTACTCATTGTGTGTGAGTCCAACATCAATCCTGAATTCAGACAAGTTGGGATTGGCCTCATTGTGGGTGGGCACATTGAAACCTTTGAGTTTCACTAAACGGTGGAGTGTTTGATTTTGTTTTCTTTTCCACTAGGCTGCCGTCCTTAGCAGGACTGTGTGATGTGAAGAATGGGTGTTCCCAAGAGCCTGCATAATACTGGTAATTTTTGCAGAAGCAAGGGCTGTTTGTTTATATCTGTGACACAAGGATAGAGCAAAGTCTTGACATGGGGTTCCTGGTCAGATGAATGAGGTTGTCAGAGCTGCTTTGCCAGCCCCAGGTAGAAGAGGCTGCTGAGCAGATCTCTGCCATGGTAGAAAGAAAGTATTTAATGACAAGGTCTCTGATTGTCTGACAGCAGTCCAGAGAAGTGTGTGCTCTGGGAATATGGAGGAGGAAGGAGAAGAAGGTTTGATTGTGTGAGGCTGTGATTGATGTAGCTTTGGGTGGTTGCACTCTTTCTTCTACTCTGACTCAAGAGCCTGTTGCTCAGATCCTCAGCCTCATGAGTTTGTGGACCCATGCATACTTCCCCTTGCTAGTACATCATAGCTACCTAAATCTAATGATAATGGGTCATTTTTCTTAGTTTTGTTTTGTTAACTTCTCAGGAGTCGCCCATTGAGCCTACTGGTTGGTTGAAAACTCCTAGAGCCCTGCAAATCCCCATTTCATTAAATTCTGGTTCTAAGTGCTGTGAAAGTAACATAAAAACCTCTCCTCCAGCAGAGTTCTGTGCTGTAACTCATCTGGTATGTGCTTGCTAGCTGACAACTCCTGCCAGCTTCCACTCTTATGCAACAGAGCAGGAGACACTTTCTAAGTTGGCACCTTCTCTGACTGCCAACAGTCACGTCTTATTATCCTAACACCTGATCAGGGGCAAAGCTGAATATAAGTTACAAACCAGAAGTCTGAAGCTTATCCATAAAGGTTCCTCTGGTGCACTGAAGATCCATGGCTCAAGATATTAATTAGGCAGAACCAAAAATTATAAATTAATTACTGCCAAAAACTTGACAATCACAAAGCTAATTTTTTGTAGAAACATTTGGTTCTTCTCAAAAAAATAAAAATAGATAGAGAGTTAAAGAATAAACGAGATTTTAAATTATTTTTTTTAGGGCTGAAGCAAATTGTTAAAAGAAAAGATAACACAAGCAGTTCTGACAGAGTGTTTCTCTTAGGAAATGTAACTTATTGATGTCTAAACTTAAATTCACAGACCAGTGTTTTTAATAGACCATTTCTGTGGATCTTCCTGAGGTTTATCCCTTAACAAGAGCAAACCATATAATTATTATTTACCTAGATGACTGTAATTGAGAACAGCACCTTGCATTCAATTGTTTGTTTTTCCTCTTCCAGATGTGAGATGGAGACCTGATCTGACTGACAGATTAAATGACTTTGATCCTTATAATATTCAGATAAAACAATCATACGTAATTGAAAATATCTGTTCTAATCAAGAGTCTTTGAGAAAAATTAGTCTTCCCTTCTTCCTGCTTCTTGCTTGGTGAGTTCACTTTCAAGGTATGATAATAAATCTGTCCAAACTCAATCTTTCGTCTTAACCCTTTCCCAGAAAGGAGTGAAGGAAGAGTTGTTCAAGCCAGGCAGAATTCCAGGACATGAAGCACAGTCTATTCTTTTAGGATACTTCTTCACTTCATCCCTTGGCAGCTTTCATTGAGGCCTCACTGACATCTCCTAGATGGGAAAAAGGCTTTTCAAGCTTAACAGAAACTAATTTACCCTGGAACATACTGATGCATAGAGGTATTATCCCCTGACTAGCTGTTTTTCTTTCTCCCTCCACCCCCCTATTAATTAGTACATTTTCACACTTCTTTTGGGAGAATTTGCTGCATATGGTATAATAAAATATCACAAATCTTGGGTGCAGAAGACACAGTAAGACACATTAATCTTCAAAGAATCTTGCTTAATTTTGTTGGAATGCTATGTCAAAATTTGACAAGTAAAAATTACTTCAGCCCTGCCTTAGTAGAATAAAACAATCAAGTAATTTACACAGAAATAGGGTTGAAAAGCTGATCTTCACTGGGATCTTGATAAGTGACAGCATTTACAATATATATGCAGAATAATGTAATGAATTTTTTATTGAGGAGATTAAGACTGGTTCATCTGGTTCTTGATTATCTTTTTTTGTTTGTTTGTTTTCCCACAAATGGAAAGCACTGACTTAACAACCTGCCTCCAGATATCAGTTCTTCTTAAAACTGTTCTGGTTAGTATTAGGTACTTAATGTTAGTTGACATGAGCATCTAAAAAAGGGTGTACTCATATGTCTGTGTGAGCCTGGATCTTAGAAGCTTGTTTTTATTGCCTATTACTGCTGTCAATGGCAGATAACACACTGCAGTCTCTGGGTGCTACATAGAGCCTTGTGTTGTTTTTGTCCCAGGCAAGCAGAACAAATCAGCTCATATGCTCCCAGCCTTATAAATTTCTAAAAGAGACAACTGAATCTTCCAAAACCAGAAAGGATACAAAATTATATTGGTCCTTTAATACGGATAATAATCCCTTGTGCATCAGCTAGCTATTCATATTTGTGCACACATTGTGAAAAGGGAGATTTTCGTAATGAACCTGGAGGGAACTATGATCTTGTGGAGTCATACATGGAGTGCTCACTGTATTTCTGGCATGGTGACAATTGATATTGACATCTCTATAATATCCAAAAAGATGGAAGTGCAGAGAGCCTGTCTCAACAGAGAGGTTCCTTCTCCAAAGGCAGCTAGAGGGAAAGCAGAGTCTGGCATATGCGGGTGAAAGTGAATTGTTTGTAGATGACACAAACTATTTGTTTCTCTGGGAACATTTGGGCACAATGGAGGGATGGGTAGGAGCACCTTGGCTCTTTAGCTCAGGCCCAGAATGGCAAACTCTCTTTAAGAAATTGAGCCCAAACTTGTTAACAAATACTTCTGCTCTAATCTTCCACATACCTTAGCACTCAAAACATACATTGAGACTAAAAAGTCCTGTTAGGACAACATTCAATTTACCTGTTTTGGGTCGTTTTTACACGGAGCTCAGAAGGACTGATTGGAAGTTTCTCCTGGTGAATATTCTGACTAGAGTACTGGAAGATACATTTATTAATGTGTAAAGCCAAACACAAATAGAAATGTTCCCAAACAGATATGCATAGTCTTCAGTGCCCTGTGAAGCTGCTTATGCAGATAGCTCAAGAACTGATTGCACTGAATATAATTCAATTTTTCACAAATTAGGTCAGATGAGAAAACTGTGAGGAAAAAAGTATGTGAGTGGGGAGTAGACTTGTAGGAAAGAAATAAACACCAGCCCACGGAAAGGGGAGGGGGATCTCCTGCTGGCCACAAGCCCTGCATTTCTGTAGGAATCTTCCAGGCCCAAGGACAAGAAAGAGTCAGCCTAACTTGACAAACTGGGTGTTAGTGGATAGTAGTGACCTAAAGGTGAAAGGACTGTAATGCCTCTCTGGCTTGTGAGTATTCCCCATGCCACAGCTCCTGCTTTTGTAATTTGCTCTTGTCAGTTTTATTTATTGCCAATTGTTCATTTGAATGCATCGGCTGCTGTTAGTGACAGGAGAGCCGTGCAGTGAGAATGCTGGATGTGCACTGTGGAAATATGTTTTACCCATTAGTGTCAGAGCAAGACGATGAAGGAAACATTTGTACTAATTTTGAGTGGGTGTTTATGCTCTTAAAAGCCACTCTGTTAAAATGACATGAAGGGGATGCAGGCAGGCACAACCCCCAGTTCTTCTTTCTTCGTGATATTAAAGGAAATTTGTTCCATTTACAAGTCAGAGTATGAGTGCTCATAGGCTTTGCAGAGAACTATGTTTGCAGAGACACAGATTGAGCTAAGTCTGGTCTGACTCAAGTATCATTGGCAGGGATCAGCACAGTCCAAATCTGTATTCAGATACATGCCAAACTTTGGAGCAGGATAGATCTCTTTTGCTGGTCTCTTATCCCATGGGACACACAGAGAAGATGAATTTTCCATGTGATTTAAAAGAAAAACTCGTCTCTTTCCCAGCACATTTCTTTTTAAATCAAAATTTTGACATAATCTTCAGTCTTAGTTGCTGTCCTTCCCTAAATACTGATAGCCAGTACCCTTTGTCTTCTCTCCTGGCCTTCTTACTTTGTTCCTTATTCCTTTGCCTCCTGATGAAGGAAAGAAATTACCCATCTCAGGGAATCAGCTAATTCTTTAGATGATGGCTGGCTGGACATCTCCCTGCAGGGAAGCTGGGGCAGGTGGTGACAGTGCTGTGTGGGAGCTCAGAACAGGCATGCTTCTGACACAGGTGAGGACCAGACATCCTCAGAGCTGGGAAAATGCTTCCCCAATTCTAAAGGCAAAAACTGTTACGGTGTCAATGATTGTTCACTACTGCTAATGATTGTTCACTATGTTCTACACCCAGCTGTCATTTCTTAGCTCTTCTTTATCAAGTGTTTCCAAGGCAGTTTTGTCCAAGAGATGATTGCAGCAGCCTTGAGAAGGGGCACCTGATAATGTTATCACTGCAGCTGAACAGTTATTTTCCTTTGGCTGGGAAAAAAGGTAAATAGCATTTCTAAAGGCATTAAGATCTGTGGTGGTGATTCCCTCCCAAAGGCTCTGCTGGATGTGAGGAGCTGTAGACCAGACCAGCTAAGTGCAGACCGCTGGCAGCCTGCTTGGAGCTCATCACATGCAGTGTTGTTGAAACAATTGTCATTCATAAATCATTCTGGGACAACTCCCACTTGGCTGTACAAGGTATTTCACCCAGCTGGTCAAGACCCCAGAGATGGCTTGCAACCACAGACAGCACAGCAAGTGGGTGGGATAAGATGTGTTATTTTTCTCTTAACATTACCTCTTTTTTTTCTTTACAGTATAGCCCCATTAAGCTGTTGAGTGCTTTCTTGACCACAATTGACTCAGGATAATCCTGGTCTAACAGAAAAGGCATGATGAGATTTAGCAGCTGGAAGTAAATTTGACACAAATTTAGTCTAGAAATAAATTTCAGATTACTACTTTTTTTAAACAATGGAAGGTGTTTAATCATTCCAACAAACTCTCTGGACTTGTGTTGGGATTTCCCAAACTTGGAATATTTTATGAATATCTTAAAATCTCTGCCTTAGTTTCAATACAACTTACTAGCTCAAGGCTAAAAGCTTCTTTTGAATTCTTTGGCTTTTATACACAAGAGATCAGATGAGAACTCAGAGCTGCCCTTCTGATTTTAAAATTCACAATTTTTCAGTTCATCTAAGCCTTGTTGGATTTAGCTCATGCCTGCTTGCTTACGTTTTTACTTGTTGTATAAAGTCTGTATCTATACTGAGTATGAAGTTTATTGTTATTTATTTATGAACTCCCCAAATAGCTTCTAGATTAATATCTGTGAGTGAATATAACTCTAAAGCTATTGCCAGTGCTGTCCTTCATATATTCTGTTCAGATATCTGAACACTTTCTCAAACTGAGCAAGGTAAATAGAACAAGTTGGAGCAAGTCTTCCATGTTTTATCTCTGTCTCTGTCTTTTCTAGAAGGGCGGATTGTATTTGTAGTAAGAAAAAGCTCAGACATGTTGATGTCAGAAATGGAGGGTCAAAGTTTTCCCCCAAATCTTTTTCAGGCAAAGGTGACTGTTTTTCCCTCTGTACTACACAAGCTCTTTCTCAAAGTTCCTCACCTGTAATAAGCATAGCTTTAGGTTTGAGCTTTGCACAGTTTACTCAGGTGCCCTTGAGTGGGTCTACACATGGTTTGAAGTAGGAAGCTTGATAAGAAAAAAAAAAGGCTCTGTGATGCCTTCCTGCTGTTCCATGCACAGCTAAGGAACTTCACACTCTGAGAATGAAATGGGAAACGGGGCTGAGAGGGATCTAAAAAGATATAGAGTATCTCATTGGCTCGTGGCCAGATTTCCACTCCCTTGCCTGCTCCTGTCAGATATCAGTCTAATTGTCACCTTCCTCCTCATTAACGTCTACCCAGAGCTCCTGGCAATAAGATAATATTTTGTTAATGTCCAGTCCACCCCAATTTTGTTCATGTCCAGCCCTCCTTAATTCCTGTTCCTTTATTGTGTCACTGGGCTGCCTGTTGCTCTGCCACCTCTCCTTCCCTGAGCATCATGACTGGTCCTTTATGGGAGCAATAACCTCCTCACATCTTCTTGCTTTCTCCTCGTGGTACAGTGCACACCTGTGTGGTCTCATGAGGACAGTGATACTCTTCTACACGTTGCTCTGTAAAACATCTTGGTCTCTTTTAGCCATTGTGACATCTCATTAAAATAAATAAAATAATTAAAACAAATAATCCTCCCTGTATCATTTTCTGCTGAGAACAAGAGTTGTAGCTGAGTTTCTTTTGGGGGATTATTGAAATAAGGGAGCCTGAGAATCAATTTATATCTTTAAAGCCTAGACCATGCTAGTTGTTAACTCAATATGAGGGC